GCTTTCAAATGAATATCACTGTAACGTTGTTGGACATCAACCACACGCAGAAATAGCCTAATGTTGCTACAGAGGACACTCAGGCTGATGAAAGCCCAGTCTACCAAAACATTATGAGAGAATGAGTTTTGTGGATTCTTACCTTCTCCACACAGGCCAGATGAAGAATTCCGTAGAGGATAACGAAGCCGAAGAGGAATAGCTCAATGTGGATGGTCGTCACAAAAAGCTGTTTGTAAGTCGAGGGCATCTCATCATAGTACTAAAGTTCATGGTTCGTCATCAGACACAGCAAAACAAAAAATATCAGTCCCAGTAAATTTAACGTCAAAGCTAAAATCAATTATACAACAGTTAGTTCCGGCCACGCAAGCTGATTGGTTGAGAAGCGTTCTAACTGTGCTGTTATTCCATCACAAACACTGTATCACTCCGCTGAGACGCCGTTGCTAAGCAACGGGTTTGACCGCTGTAGAAGACGCTCAAGCCACATTAACATTTTTACTTCTTACTTTTTACATATAACCTTCCGATGAGCACCCGAAGGCAGCATAAACATAGTTACTCGTGGCCTAAATATATTAATTTGTAGCCTTGATATAGTAATTTGTGGCCTCAATATATAATTTAAGGCCTCAATATAGTAATTTGTGACCACGCCTTATTAAAAAATAAACATAATTTCACCTTAGAAGTGCTGGACGTTTCAGTGTATGATGCAATCAGCATTATTTTTATGTCAGTCTGAATGTTTACTCATAACATTTCCTTTCAGTCTTACTTTCCTGGCTGACTCAGAGCTGAAACTGAGCTGATTGAGCTGCACAGCAAGAAGTGCTGAAGGAAAAAAAGTGCCCAAAGAACAAAAGCCAATTCTCCACACTAGCTGACCCAATTAGAGCAGTGGGTTGCATCAGATTCTCCACTGACTCACTGTCCACTCTCAGCCTCAGAGTCTCGTTAAAGCCGGACTGCCGAATATAGTAATTTTATTTACTATCTAAAACTACTAATGACCTACGTGTGTCTTGTAATGTCAGTGGTTAATCTTGAAAATGATGTTTCCTTTGGGGACTATTTTACACCCTGCATGTATCTCTCCACCATGAATGGATTTAAAAAATATATTTTAAGCCCAGATTTTCTCAAAATTATTGTAAAAGAATGTTTCAGGCATCAGGCAACTTGTTCATAACCATTTCATGTAGTAACTTTCTGTGAGGGAGCTTTTAGAGGTGGACGTCTGGTTCCTATCACCACCACTGTGAACAGTTCTGACTCGGTAAGTTTCTCTAGAACAGAGCGTTTCACACCAAACCACTCTGAATGATTTGATTATGCAAATTTTTTTGACAGATTGGTGGAATTTTGCTTTAAAGCATATCTAATAACCTAATATGCAAATGATTTGTCAAGACCCACTTAAGTTTAGACGTTATATAAAATGGGCTATAATATATATTCATTATGTTCTGCTGTGATGAATCCATGGGTACGGAAACACCTACATAGTTATACACAATATTTAGGTGTTACAATTATAACCTTTATTGTTATTATTTAAAAGCTTCCCGATGTATATTGTGAGCGTGCACTGTTGCGAGTCACCCTGTAAAGACTGAAATAGTTGTTTACAAGTCAGAGGTGTCGAGTCAGGAGTTTTTCACATCACATCATGCATCTTTATTTAAGCAGTATAACACGAGAGGGAGTGTGTTATCGCGAAATAACATCACGGCTGTGATTTGGTTGCCGTAGATCATCACAGCCATGATGTCGTTGGTGATAACACCAACCTGGAGTGTTCTTTTGCTTTTATACAACAGTTAAATAAATTAAGTAATAAATTAATAAACTGGGCCGTGAACGCGGCGTTTAATATGTTTTAATGTTCGCAGTTCCTTCACCAAATTATGGTTCCTTAACGAGCAGCTTGTTGCTACGTCAGAGTAACGGACTCTGCTCACTCGCTGCTCAGTCTGCTGTAAGCTTCACCTTTTGAAGTACGGACTGAGCCATAAAACTGCCACAATATCAAGTTTAGCTCAGTTTTGTCATTTTCTGCCAGATCAATATTAATGTTGTTTTGTTCCAGCCAGTCTGTAAAGCATCTTACAGCCCATTTAGTTTGGCGAATGGTGTTGGGTTCATTTCTGGCTGATTCCAGGTTGTTTAGCTGTTCTTCTGTCACAGCTGCCGACTGAAAAGCTGCTCAGTGGTGATGACAGTTTGGGAATTCAGTGTCGTCTCATCTTCAGAGTCTGACCAAATCGGCTGTCGGTCAAATGTGATCTTAAAGGTATCCATTTTCTGTTTATGGCAAAACAAGAAGTAAAAACGTTCAAGTGGCTTGAGCAACCTTCTACAGCTGTCAAAGTCGTTGCTTAGCAACGGCGTCTCAGCGGAGTGATACAGTGTTTGTGAAAAAAACGTGATGTTATGGAGAAATAAGAACGCTTCTCAACCAATTAGCTTGCGTGGCCGGAACTAACTGTTGTATAAGTATTAACGTCGCATGCACAGAATCAAAAAGAAGGTCCGGCTTGATGGTTCGGTCTCAAATTATCTCAAAATCAACATCATACTGATGTAGATATGATGATGATAGCAGATAATTCACTCACATCCTCAGAAGACGCGTCCTTCACCAAGTTTAGACTGAGTTCTCTTTGAATTCTCTTTCAATTATCAAATTCACCCACTCAGGGAAGGGGGCCGAAGCACAACCCATGGTACAAAGTGTTCGTCTGCAAACTGCATGCAATTACACATTTCCACCAGAGAGGTCTCCAAATCCCCAAATGTTTAGCTTTAAATACGTTTTCTGTAAAAAGGCTTGTAGTGATGAGGCTCATGACTACAGATGCATCTTAATACTTCAGTCCGGGATGCATTTCACTTAAAGCTGGAGACTGACCCATACTGATCACATCAACACTTATTTAGATGTAGTACTATGACTTGGTAACAGTTTTCTAATGGTAGGCTGTTGAAGAAGCGCAAGCTCAGAGCTTATATGTGTGCTATAGTTAGACTTTGAGTTATATAACATTTGTAAACACTCTTGTCCCTCCAGAACAAATACTGAAGGACATGACTTTTCATGCACACTCAAACTACCGAGATATATTACTGTACAGTTATTCCCACAACATGACAAATTCATCTGACTGCCTGTACTAACTAAGCTTGGCTCTCCCATCAGATTCCCATTTTCATAATTTCTGCGCAGTTTAATTGTAAAGAAGTAAACAGAGTCATTCAGAGTGGTTTGGTTTGAAACGCTCCGTTCTACAGAAACTTACAGAGTCAGAGTTGTTCACAGAGGTGGTGATAGGAACCAGACGTCCACCTCTAAAAGCTCCCTTACAGACAGCTATCACACAAAATGGCTACAAATAGACTCCCTGATGCCTGAGACACTGTTTTACAATAGTTTCATTAGATTTTGGCCTAAAATTTCTCTGTTAAAAATCATTTATTTGGTGGAGGGATACACACAGGGCATTATAAGTCAAAATAGTCCCCAAAGAAAACCTAGAATTTCAGATTTTTCACTATTTTCCATCATCAATATTCCATATAAACTCAGAAGACTCGTGTAGGTTCACTGGTGGTTTTAGAGAGTAAATAAAATGTCTATATCTGTGTTGTAGTCATGGCGACCCCTGGTTCCCATCACCACCACTGTAAAGAAATCTGAACCGTTTCACACCAAACCACTCTGAAAGACTTTGTTTACATCTCACACACTAAATTATGCAGAAATTTTGAATTAAAATAGAACTAAAAAATACCATGCTGTGAAGTGTAAGGGGTGTATAGAGTCAATGGGACTTAAACGAATGTAATTATAATGGATAATGTGGTAAAGTGATGTTCCCTAACTAAAGTGACAGGGTAATGTTATTTAGGCTTATATATTTCTGTCAAAAAAAAATTGCACTTAAGCGTTGCCACATTGTAGTAGCTTTATGAATTTAATATTTGCTTAATATTTCATTTGGATGCCGTATTCTGCACTTTACTTACAGTATATTTGTGAGACAGTGTGCATGTGTTGGAGGATTCAAGTGGAAGTTTTTGTCAGCTACTGTATTCTGTAGAGTACACTTGGGGAAGAAGCCCCTGTTTTCTTTCCTGATCAAATGATGGGGACAAATTTTATTTGCTTTATTAGTTTATTTCTGTTTGTAAGCTAAACTCGTACACAGATATGATGGGTTGTGTCTGAAGGCACCCAGTCATGCTGCCTGCTGGGGGTCTTCCGTTTGGCCGTTTTAAGAAGGCTGTATCTTTCGCTGTCTTGCATATCCCATAATCCTCTGTGCCAGTGCAGATACGGTTAGAAAAGAATAGCAGAGAAACACCAGCAATAACACAGTGGACAACGATGCCTTTAAGGCACTGACTTATGAGACAGCGCAGGCAGCAAGGCCTTGAGACAGCTGTCTTCGGTTCCAGACACAGCCATTAGCTTTACAGGAAATGGACACAATTCTTAAGAGAGATTTCTACAGAACTTATAGAGAGGAGAATGATCACTCTGTAATGTCGTCTTTCTCTAACGCTAGAGGGCGCTCCTGAGCAAGTCCCAAAAATGGTTAATATAAAAGAACACATTAATTTCCTGAATACAGCACAAAACAGCATAAAACATTTTAACACCTCTGTTTAACGCTCCCATTCACTGAGAACTCGCTCGCGGGCGCCCTCTGGCGTTTTGCAGTCATGTTTCTGCTATAAAGGAAAAGTTTGGGCTCCTCATGAACCGCCTCTGTGACTTTTCCCCCCATTTCCCCCAGTATAACTTATGTGGAAACCGCATCAAAGTCGTCTAATGTGCAAACGACAAGAAAGCCAGTAAAGCCTGATTGAGATTCTGAACGTCAAGCGCTGCTGTTTTTTTGGTGTTTGTCGCCCTCTGCAGGCTGAAGGGGGAACGGCAGCAGAGTCACCGCCACATATGAATGACGCGCCGTGTCAAGCAACCGGTTGCCGAGCAACCGGTCTGTTTGGAAACGTGAACATGAGAGAAATTTCTGTGGTAAAAATCTAGCTTAGTTACACGATTAGGTGAGTTTTTATTTATTGTTGTTGCAGTAGAGCGTTTGTTTATGAATCTAGACTTAGCTAGAACCCCAGAGCTCAGCTACGTTGCGGAGTTTGTAGACTGAAACACGATGGAGGAGTCGATCAGCGTTATCTGTGCTGCATTCAAGCGCTACTGGATTTATCAATTAGTTATGCGTAACGTTTGAAGTTTCTGAGGAGACCTGTGTAGCTGCAGACATGAAGATCTGAGTTAAATGGTCTCGTCTTGAGCCACATAGGTCTCCTCACTGGAACTTGATCATCAGCATACCATAGAAAATACAATCCAAATTACAAAATTCACAGGACTTTTATTGACGTAGGTTTAAGAGTGAGTACTTTTGTACTTTAAAGGAGAAATCCACTGTTTTGTCAAAAAAGTTGGTATAAATCAGTCATTGAGAGTCATAAACAGAGTCATTCAGAGAGGTTTGGTGTGAAATGGTTGATTGTAGAGGCTCAGATTTCTTTACAGTGGTGGTGATAGGAACCAGGGGTCAGCATGACTACAACTACAAATATAGAAATTTTAATTACTATCCAGAACCACCAGTGAACCTACACGAGTCTTCTGAGTTTTATGTGTAATGTTGATGATGACAAAAATAGTCATAAATCTGAAAAAATAAGTTTTCTTTGGCTTACAATGCAGTGCATACACTCCGCCACCAACTAATGGATTTAATAAAGCATGTTTTAGGTCAAAAACCTTATCATAAAACTACTGTAAAACAGTGTCTCAGGCATCAGGCAGTGAATTCATAACCATGTCATGTAGTAACTTTCTGTGAGGGAGCTTTTAGAGGTGGACGTCTGGTTCCTATCACCACCACTGTGAATAGTTCTGACTCAGTAAGTTTCTCTAGAACGGAGCGTTTCACACCAAACCACTCTGAATGGCTCTCTTTACATCTCAACCACTTAGTTACACAGAAATTGTGAAAATTGGTAACTGATGGCAAGTTTTCTTTGGCTTCACAATGCCCTGCATGTGCTTCTCCACCATGAATAGATGCTAAAAAATACATTTTAGGCCCAAATAGTCTCAAAACTGTCATAAAACAATGATATCATGGCACCATTTCATGTAATAGATTTCTGAGACGGAGCTTTTTAACAAAAACACAGAAAACAGGGAGGAATCCGGTGGAGAACGATGTCACGTTCAGCCAAGTCACGTGGAGAGAAGAGTCGTGGTGGGGGGTCAGCAGGGGTCCTGGTTCCTCCGGTGCCCCTCCAGCAGCCCACGGTGACCTCAGACATCATCGTGGGCCGTCTGACTGAAAGCACCTGGCGGGAGATGGTCGAGCAGGAGGAGGGTGAGGAGGTGGTGGCAGGCCTAATTGATGAGCTGATGGATCATGTGATGGACAGGTGCTTTCAGGTGCACCTGCAGATACAGGTGAGCTACACTTGGCATATACTTGTGATGTATGTACTTCACAAACATAGCCCACTAAATCAACCTTAAACGCAAAGATAAATCCCTAAATCAACCCTAAGTACAAAGATCATTTCCAAGTTTAGCCTAAAACACAAAGATGAGCCACAGAAAAATAAATCTGTAAATCAACCTAAAATATAAAGGCTTAAAAATGGCCTAAAGAGGCCTAAAACACAGAATTAAAACACAAAGATAATTACTAAATTGGTCCAAAACACAAAGATAAATTGGTAAATCACAGTAAAACACAAAGATAAACCAATACATCAGCTTAAAACATGACGATTTATCATTAAATGAATCAATAAATCACTACCACTGCCCAAAACACAAAGATAAATCAGTAAATCGGCTTAAAATATAAAGATATATCACAAATTAAACCTAAAACACAAAGTTAAATCACTAAATCTGCCCAAAACAAAGACAAACCACAAAACTAGCCAAAAAAACACAAAAAATGAATCACCAAATCAGCCTAAAATGCAAAGATAAATCAGTAAATCACTGTAAAACACAAAGATAAATCAACTTAAAACACAAATAAAAATCAATAAATCAGCTTAAAACATGAAGATATCACTAAATAAGCGAATCACACTAAAACAAATCACTACCACTGCCCAAAACACAAAGATAAATCAATAAATCATCTTAAAACAGAAAGATGTGTCGCTAATTCAACCTAACATACTAAAAACAATCAGTTTAAAACACAAAGAAATATAAAAAAGGCAACACAAAACAGTTGAATCAGTAAATCTGCACTAAATCAGCAAAAACACAAAAATGAATCACCAAATAAGCCTAAAATGCAAAGATAATATCAGTAAATCACTGTAAAGCAAAAAGATAAATCAGCTTAAAACACAAATATAAATCAATAGATCAGCTTAAAACATGAAGATATCACTAAATAAGCCAATAACACAAAAACAAATCAATAAATCATCTTAAAACAGAAAAATATATCGCTAATTCAACCTAACATGATAAAAAACAATCAGTATAAAACAAAGTTGAATCACTAAATCTGCCCAAAACAAAGACAGACCACCAAATCAGCCTAAAACACAAAGAGAAAATAATTAATAAGTAAATAATCATAAACCACAAAGATAAATCAATAAATCAGCTTAAAATATAAAGCTATATCACTAATTCAACCTAAAACACATGGTTAAGTCATGAAATCTGTCCAAAACACAAAGTTGAATCACTAAATCTGCCCAAAACACAAAGACAAAGCACTAAATCAGCAAAAATAAATCAGTAAATCACCGTAAAACACAAGATAAATCAATGCATCAGCTTAAAACAGGAAAATATATTACTAAATAAGACAAGCACAATAATAAACCACTACCACTAAACACAAAGACATTTCAATAAATCACCTTAAAACAGGAAGATAAATCACTAATTTAACCTAAAATACAAAAACAAATGACTAAATCAGTGTAAAACATGACAAAATATCAAAAAGGCAGCCCAAAACACAGAAGTTAATCACTACATTAGCCCAAAACACAGAAATTAATCACCAAATCAGCCCAAAACACAGAAATGAATCACCAAATCAGCCCAAAACACAGAAATTAATCACCAAATCAGCCCAAAACACAGAAATTAATCGGTAAATCAGCCCAAAACACAGAAATTAATCACTAAATCAGCCCAAAACACAAAGACAAACCCTAATTCAATACAAAACACAAAGATAAATGACTAAACCAACTGAAGCATCGATCACCTCGTATGCTAGCTCTAATGCTACGCTGTATTAAACATTATCATTAGCATTAAATGCTAAACAGTCCGTATTTTTGTGTGTGTTATGTTGTGATGTCTAAATACTATTTATGTAAAAAAAAATAAAAAAGCAAAAATAGTTAAAAATGCCAGCGTAACCTGTCTAAGTCATCTCTGAGCTATAACATCATTTCTTCAGCTGGTGCCGTTTTGCGTGCGGTGGGCGCGGGAGGCCCTGGCGCAGACGATAGAGTGGAGGTTCCTGGTGAGGGATGAGGGTGAGAATTCGGACAGCGACACCCTGTGGACGGAGGACCCAGAGCCTGAGCCCAGCGCCCCGGATTCCTGGGCGGAGGGGTGTGTTCCCGTGGTGTATTTCAACCAGCAAGTACGCACACCTTTACTGCAGGTAGGACCAGGGCTGGGCGGGATAACAGTGACAAGATATTCTGCGATGTTGAGAAATGATGACAGGATTTCAACATTGTGACGTGTCAAATTTCTCTTCCACGTCTGAACAGACAAACAAACATGTTCTACCAGAGCTCATGAGGAGTCTGGCCACTTCTTATTTCCCCTGTTATAGCAAAAACATGACAAAAAACGCCAGAGGGCGTCCACAAGTCCTCAATGAATGGGAGTGAATGGAACTAAACGGCTAAAACTGAAAAGTTAAAATAGTTTCTAATCGCTGAACCAGAACTTTCCTTTAATTTTAGAAAGTAGAAGGATGAATTTCACTAAAAAAGCAAAGAAAACTCACCTGTATGTTTCCTTTTTTCGACAGCAGGACGCTAACATTACTGCTACTGAGTGCTGACTGGTCAGCATTACTGCTACTGAGCGCTGATTGGTTAGCATTACTGATACTGAGCGCTGACTGGTTAGCATTACTGCTACTGAGTGCTGATTGTTTAGCATTACTGCTACTGAGTGCCGATTGGTTAGCATTACTGCTACTGAGTGCTGATCGGTTAGCATTACTGATACTGAGCGCTGACTGGTTAGCATTACTGCAACTGAGTGCTGATTGATCAGCATTACTGCTACTGAGTGCTGACTGGTCAGCATTACTGCTAGTGAGTGCTGATTGGTTAGCATTACTGCTACTGAGCGCTGACTGGTTAGCATTACTGCTACTGAGTGCTGATTGATCAGCATTACTGCTACTGAGTGCTGACTGGTCAGCATTACTGCTAGTGAGTGCTGATTGGTTAGCATTACTGCTACTGAGCGCTGACTGGTTAGCATTACTGCTACTGAGTGCTGATTGGTTGGCATTACTGCTACTGAGCACTGACTGGTTAGCATTACTGCTACTGAGTGCTGATTGGTTAGCATTACTGCTACTGAGCGCTGACTGGTTAGCATTACTGCTACTGAGTGCTGATTGGTTAGCATTACTGCTGCTGAGTGCTGATCGGTTAGCATTACTGCTACTAAGTGCTGATCGGTTAGCATTACTGGTACTGAGTGCTGATTGGTTAGCATTACTGCTACTGAGTGCTGATTGGTTGGTAAGCAGAGCAGCTCATTGGCTGTTCGTGCTCACTGATGTCATGAATGTACATGAGGTGCCATTTTAAACTCCTGTAACTCGAGTTTAAAAGCTCTTAAAATATAACAGCCATGTTAAAATGTTTTCTGATGTTCAGTGTTCAGGAAATGAATGTATTCTTTTATATTAAAAATGTTTAATGATTTTTGTCAAATGCTCCATCTTAACCCATTAATTTTGGACTCGCTCGGGAGCGCCCCCTAGCCTTTGAGAAACCCAGATGATATTACAGAGTGTTCTCTCTTTCTCTACAAGTTCAAAGGGAAAAATCAGAACCAGGAAAAACAGGCTGCATTTTAGCATCAGTTAGCTGAAACCGAGCCTGTGCTGTGTGGCACATTTGGCCTGCTAACTATGCTAACCAAGATTTCAGCTCTCTGTAACTCCAGTCACTCCTCTTTTCCTCTCTAAGATGTTAGTTTTTGTCATCCACACTTGTTTAAACAGAGCAGCAGTCAGACTGAACATGTGCTGTGCTGTGAGGCTCTGTTTGGGTCTGTAGCTGCTTGCTAAGCTAACATTAAGTAAGCTGATCAGGCTACAGATAAAACACCACAGAACAGGTTTCATTTCTCTTTTCTGTCCCTTTAGTGCCAGTCACTCCACTTCACTCCCTCAGATTTGAATCATCTACACTTGTGTCTGATGTTCTGTGGTGAACAGAGCTGTTATCATGCTAGCTAAGCTAATGCTAACAAGCTCCTCTCTCTCCTTGTTAGCAACATTTAGTGAGGTGGTTTGACATTTATTGAATGAAATCTTAAAAATCGTGCATTATGTTCACTTATTTTATGACCATGTAAGCAAACTCCTCTTTTGATTTGTTGATTTGTTTGAACAATAAAACTCACAGACAAAGCAATATTTTCTAGTCCCTCCTCTGTCTGGATTAAAATAAATGATGTCTTCACAGAAACTCCTGGACCTCAATGTGGAAGAGCCTGAACATCCATCCAACCCCAACACCTCTGGCAGATCCCACTCCCAGAGCAGAGATGGGGCTCATCTGCCAGCCTCAGAACAGCTCCAACCAGCTAAACAAGACTTACGGAACATCAAACCCGCCAGAACCCACAAAGACACCCTAACGTTATCGACCGCCCCAAGCAAAAGCACAGGGGGTCAAAAGAAACAGCAAGCTCAGCTAAAGCCTCTCCGAGCCTCTTTTCCAGCCAACAGATCCCAGAAGCCTTTGCAAGTGTTTCCTCCAGGAGCTGTGAGGCCTTTGCCGGAGAGTGAGGACCAGAATTCAGCAAAAAACGTCATTTCCAAAAAGCACTCGGAGCTTCGGGTCCTGAAACGGCGGCCCGTCAGACCGGCCCAAAAACTGAACTGACCAATCAGAGTGGACCAGGGCTGACATTCACAGGCACTGAAAAGAAAAGCTTATACAGGAGGGAGTTAAAATGATGCTGCATGTCAGAGGAGAGAGAGACTCTTCAGAACTCATAATAATACAATCACCCGGGAATTATGGAACAATAATTAATATTAATATTTATAGATTCTGTAGATCATGATTGTGGGTCAATTTATCTTTCTCATATTTTTTCATAGTAATTAACACAGACCTAAATTTATTATTGATCCCATTCACTTTATTAGAAACTACTATCTTGTAGCTCTGCCAGCAGAATGTAATGGGGTTTCTACCCCACTACCCGCCAAGGTAGTTGTTTCTAATAAAGTGGCCAGTGAGTGGAAGTGTAAGGTTGGCGTTTCTAATAAAGTGGTCAGTTAGTAGAAATACAAGGTGGGTGTTTCTAATAAAGTGGTCAGTCAGTAGAAATACAAGGTGGGTGCTTCTAATAAAGTGGTCAGTTAGTAGAAGTACAAGGTGGGTGTTTCTAATAAAGTGGTCAGTTAGTAGAAATACAAGGTGGGTGTTTTCAATAAATTGGACAGAGATTGTACTGTTACAAGTTTTGCTGGTGCTTTAGTTACAGGTTCTCCACCTGATTATTTCAGTTTAAACTCCTTCTTGCTTTAGAATGTCTGTTTCTCTTGTAAGGTTCTGTTTTGACCACATGGTGTCACTACTGCTTTATTTAGAGCTGAGTTTGAATCTGTGTTTAGAGAAAAAGGAAGGAGCTCAGCCCATTACAAAAGAACATTTTAATTACGTTATATCAGAGGACGGGTTGAATAAGCACATTGTTTGTCATAGCCCTACTAAGCGGAGTGGTGGCAGTGGTCATTAAAGACCTGTCAGTTTTGCGTAATGAAGCCTCTTGCAAGCTGCTGTGCGGCTTGTCCAGATGGTGTTAAAGCAAAAGTCTTCTTCAAAAGGCTACACAGAGGATGGGTGACCCCCTTTTTAACTATACACCCACCAGTATTCATTATGGTTTGGCTGGTTACGTGTAGAATGTGTGAAATGAGAGATGATTTGGGTTTTGGCTTTAGGAGCTGGTCTGGTTAGCATTAATGAGACGTTGGATGAGTAAATGCTAACACTGCATGTCAAAACAGTTCTCATTATAGACTCATTATAGAGAGGAGAGGCATGCAGTGTCAAATTCTGCGTTTTGAAGTTCAGAAGTGACAGTTAATTCACGTATCGCTAAACCTGAGAACGTTTCAGCTCCAGCTCAAGATCAGAATCGACGTTTTTACTCAGTGTTCTTAAAAACATCTCATGGCATGAAATTAAACCGAAAAATCTAATGTCATAACATGTCTGGCATATGATATTTGCTTCTTTAGTTTTGTGCTGGTGCTACAAGGCTAATAAAGCTAACAAGAAGTGGAATCTTCAGGAAAATTCTGGCTTCTGGCTTCTGTTTTCAGCTATGCCAGTCTACTTCATATTCTTAGGTAACAGTGTGTCGTACAGCATCAGAAAAAGCATAAGCAAGTCTATTTGAGATTTTTTTTATAGGAGTTATATTTTACTCTCACCTACCAATGAGCCAAAACATCACAAGCACCTGTCTGATATGTTGTTGGTCTATTGAAACCCAAACGTTAAGAAGAGCCATTTTGTCCTTTCAACAAAAGTCAACCCACCTTGCGAGCCACAACATCTTAAGTCTATTTTACCATCTTGGCTGTAAATGTGTCTCAGTATGTGCTGATGTACTAGTTTAGGCTACAAAATATAATGTAAATGAAAACACAGACTTTCTTTGCTCTGCTTTGAGCTTTAGCTCAGCTATAGCTGCTTTTCTCGCATCTCCAGCAGGAAACCTTTCCTCAAAAGTAGAACAGTTTCTTGTATAATGTCCCGAAACGTTTTTACGAGACTGAAGTCGCTTAATATTCACCGCTGTCTTGTTCGAATTTTCCTGTTCCACCTTAAATGGTGCCTGAGGCGCCAGAATGTAACTTCTGCACCGTTTAAGGTGGAATGGGACAATTCGAACAAGAAGCTGGCGAAAGAGAAACTTCAGCTGTGCAACTTTTTAGTGTTTGACGGTTTCTTGTTGCAGGAAACCAGCTGGAGTGATTATAAACACAAAAAAGTCCATTCGTCTCCAAATTAACAGCTCCAACCCACTAAGGTGCCCAGTGGTATCTGCCACCGAGACATTAGCAGTAGATTCTTTAAGACCTGTAAGTTGTAAGGTGTAGCTGCCTCGAATTGGAGTTGATGTTCCAGCACATCCCACAGATGCTGGATCGGGTTGAGATCTGGGGAATTTGGAGGCCAGAGCAACGCCTTGGTCCTCAAACCATTCCCATACAATGTGGGTGCAAGATCCTGCAGAAAGAGGCCTCTGCCTCGGAGAATACCACTGCCATGAAGGGGTGTGCCTGGTCCGTCACAATGTTTAGGTAGGTGGTGCATGTCAAGCACCCTGTTCTTCAGTGGTCAGGACCCCCACAGGACCACCACAGAGGAGATATTATTTGGGTGGTGGGTCATTCTCAGCACTGCAGTAACTCTGACATGGTGGTGGTTTGTTAGTGTGTGTTGCGCTGGTCTGAGTGGATCAGACACAGCAGTGCTGCTGGAGTTTGTAAACACCTCAGTGTCACTGCTGGACTGAGAATAGTCCACCAACCAAAAATATCCAGCCAACAGCGTCCTGTGGGCAGCGACCTGTGACCACTGATGACGGACTAGAGGATGACCAACACAAACTGTGCAGCAGCAGATGAGCTATCGTCTCTGACTTTACATCTACAAGGTGGACCGACAAGGTAGGAGTGTCTAATAGAGTGGACAGTGAGTGTCACTGCAGTGCTGAGAATGATGCACCACCCAAATAGTACCTGCTCTGTGGGGGTCCATGGGGGTCCTGACCACTGAAGAACAGGGTAAAAGGGGGCTAACAAAGTATCAGAGAAACAGATGGACTACAGTCTGTAACTGTAGAACTACAAAGTGCACCTATATAGTAAGTGGAGCTGATAAAATGGACAATGAGCGTAGAAACAAGGAGGTGGTTTCATGTGTGGTGTAGAATCACAGCTATTACTGATGTTTTTTTTTGCAAGACTGTTTTTCGTGGATGGTTTGGGTTCTGGTGCTGAAACAAACCCAAAACAAACCCCAGCCACCATTACAGTACATTCATCTCCAGTTCAAACGAGCAGCCTGATCTGCTCTCGCTAATGAGATTAGCTTTAAGCTGTAATAAGCACAGATTCACACTGGTTTTAATACCTGAGACACGTCTTACATATCGCATTACAGATCAGCTCTCCTCGATCCCCCATGGAGGTTACACCCTGAAACACCTCCTCCTGCAGTGTATTTCTGGATTTCTGGCTCGTAGCTCATTGAAATAAGAGGAGAAATTATGTGGAAAGCGCAGATTCTAAACTTTGAATCAATGTTTGTAAGTAGAAGAGGAGATATTTTATTCTGATTTGAATCTGATGAAAAGGTACTTTGTGTGTGCCGTCTTGTTTTGTGAAAAGAAAAAAAACGTCCCTTACATTTTTCTGTTTTTTGTCATTTTTTGATATTAAAACAAACAAAAATGAAGCATAAACCTATAAAAAGCATAAATTGATTGTAAAACTACTACTAATTATTCAGTAGCTAACGTGAGGTATTCAATAACAACTATAAATTAAGCTTTCATTACTCTGTATTAGTCAGTACTATGAAAAATTAAGTTCTGACTATTATTTAGCAACAACTATGAATAAGTAACGACTATTCATTATCCAATAACTACTACGAAGTTATCCAGTAGTTGTTCGATTTCTACTGTACTTTATTCTGAATCTACTAATGTTACTCATTAACTATTATTATGTATTGTTTACTAGATACTATAAATTTAATGCTAGCTACAATGAGTTATTTAGCAACTGCTATATACTATTCAGTAACTATTATGAATTATTAAGTTTACATTTACATCATTTAGCAGACGCTCTTATCCAGAGCGACTTACAAAAAGTGCTTTGTCTATCCAGAGAAAGAATCTTCGCTAGCTACCGATAGGTTAGAGAGAAAGTCAGTCCTAAGCTCAGATACTGGTAGAATCAGAAGGTCATTGACACCTAGTGAAAAAGGGACAGAGTTAAACACAGAACAGTGCAATACGATAAAATACATAAGTGCTGTACAATACATTACAATCAATACTTAATTTAGTGCTCATTTAAGTGCTGAATAAACAGGTGTGTCTTCAGTCTGCGTTTGAAGACAGCGAGAGACTCTGCTGTACGGACAGCCAGTGGGAGTTCGTTCCACCACCTGGGTGCCAGCACAGAGAACAGTCTAGTTGCTTGCCTTCCACGCGCCTTGAAGGATGGCGGGTCAAGCCGAGCTGTACTCGAAGCTCGAAGGGCTCGTGGTGCAGTTCGAGATTTGACCATTGCCATCAAGTAGGGAGGGGCTGGTCCATTTTTGGCCTTGTAGGCAAGCATAAGGGTTTTAAATCTGATGCGTGCAGCTACAGGAAGCCAGTGAAGGGAGCGCAGCAGTGGGGTGACGTGGCTGAACTTTGGGAGATTGAAGATGAGTCTTGCTGCTGCATTCTGGATGAGTTGCAGAGGCCTGATGGCCTGCATCGGAAGACCAGCCAAGAGCGAGTTGCAGTAGTCAAGCCTTGAGATGACAAAAGACTGCACTAGCACCTGAGTGGCCTCTCTCGAGAGAAAGGGTCGGATCCTCCGGATGTTGAACAGCAGAAATCTGCATGACCGAGTTATGTTCACAATGTGAGTCGAGAACGATAACTGGCCATCCAAAACCACACCAAGACTTCTTGCCTCTGCTGACGGGACAATCAGAGAGTTCTCGAATGAGATGGCAAGATCTTGATGAGGACCTGTAGTTGCAGGGATGAATAGTAGCTCAGTCTTGCTAGGATTGAGCTTCAGGTGGTGAGCTGCCATCCATGAAGAGATGTCAGACAGACATGCCGAGAT